TGAATGCGTGACATTCAGCTCACACAGATCTAGAGAGATCTAGAGTGATCAAGAAACTAGAGCTTCAGGGGCGAAGGAAAACGAAGCTGACATATGACTGCCTCTGCATTTGTGGCCACTTTTTTTAAATATCTGTGAGAGCATATCGAAGCATACCCAGAATATTTGTTATAAGTAACTGGAATGCTTGTGGAACATAAACATGTTGTAATTATTCTACTAACTAAACGAGTTGTGGAATATTTAATTTTGGAGAACTGGAAGTATATAGGAATATTTTTTTATTATTCCTGCAGGTGTCGACAGTCAAGGGTATCTAAGACGCCCCCCATTTTGTGAGCTATAAATTGCCTTGCACAGTCAGCCGTCAGCCCAGTAGTCACCAAATAAGTCATAAGTTCATCCCGTATAGAAACAACTTGTATAAATACATAGTTCATAGTTCCGTTGATTCACCAAGCTGGACATCGAGTGAGTGTCCCGCAAAATGACCTGGTCAGCCCCGGTCATGCAGGTCATTGCACCCGCCCGTGGATCAAGCCAAACAAAATCACGGTCCATTTCGCCTCGAAACTTCGACGTCTAATGGCGTTGAATCTCAGGTTTCTTGTCATACACAAGTACTGGGAATCACAATTGCCCAACAAATCATTTTTTGTTGAATAGTCTTTCTGTGTGATTCTCAGGATTTGGGGGACCATCACTGACCAAGTCGAACGCGAGTTGGCGCTTGCTCGAATACTGGGAAGGGTCCCTGCCATCATGCCGTTGGACACCGAACAAATGACGATTGTGCTCGCTTTATGACTCATTCAAGATTTGGCGCTCAAGCAAGCTAAGAAGGCCCAAGAACAATGTCTTCCTTTTTTCTTAGACTTAGAGATGTTTTCTTTGGAGGAGTTTGCAACGTACTCTACATGGTATTTAAGCCAGGCACAATGCGATTACATTCTCCACAATCACTCCTAGACTGACAGGATCGTTCCGCCCCAACATGGATGGATTCCTCTCATACGCCGTTGCTTGTGCTTGCCTCCACAAGCAAACACATTGAGGAAATTTACTAACAACATTGTTTGTTTGCCACAGCTTCAACATACAGGCTTTCACACCTTTAACTATTTGACACCCTTCTGTCAATTCGCTGCGTGGCCGCGGGATTTGAGGCAAGTGGCGCTATTTGGTTTGGATCTCAGAATTGCAGGGAGCTGGTGAGAAACTCAGAGTCCTAGAGGTCTTGAGGTCAATTCTTTTGGGGCGTGCTGTGGACATGACAATTGTTGCTGATGATTGCATGAGGGCAGACGGCAGACGTTTCTATTTTGTTGCTCCGTCAACAGTCAAGGGGACAAGAAGGTCGAGATGACAACTGACGAGAAGAAAGGGGCACTTAAGTTACTGTGAGGAATTTCAGCCTTCTTGGCTTACTGTGGCTTTTGGTGCGATCACACCTTTGGTTTGCATGTAAACTACGTAGTCAGTGAACGCAGGAAAAGACCTAGCAGCATGAGGCTGTCAAAGCCAAGCTCCTTTGTAGATAGGGTTCGGCCATGTTCGGCCCACATTTTGAGGAACGACAATCCTTTGCTTTGGCACCCAGAGAAACGAGTTGGACTCTTGACAATGGCAAATGCAAAACGAATACTGAATGCACATTACTTTGTTGTGAATTGTAACCATTTTTGGACCATACCTGCAGCTTGGTCCTGCACCCACCAGGTTGGAACAGCGTAGCAACTCAGTGAAGCACAGACCAGGTCAGCCCGTGCCTACAGAGACCTCAGGAAAGAATCGGTTTTTGAGTCCCAAATTGAGGTCTTGCTTTTGCTGGTGCGAGGGCCCAGCCATGCCCAGCCTGTACAAGCGCTTGGAAAAGGGGGTTAGGAGGGACCGCAGACAGCCTGGCGTGGATGAGGCTTTTTGGTAGCTTGGCGTCCGGCAAAGAACACGGGAACTACACTGAGCTAGAGCCTCGACTTCAGCAAGAGACACCCATCTATAAACATCTCGGAGATCCACTGGAGATCACTTTTTGAGGAAGACCAGCCAGAAGGCTTCCAGTGGTTGGTAGCTTTCATCTCAGTTATTCTCAGTCTCACCAGGGATACTAGCTGCCTTTCAAGCAGGTGGACTTTGTATCGACAAAGGCTTCGTTGCTTCTCCATGTTTTTTTTATTTTTTTGTATGTTTGACTCCCCAGACTTTGTAGTAAGTTCTATAAGGAGGTTCCCAGGTTTGCAGCAGACCTTCAGTAATAGCAATCCATTAAGAACCCGAACTCCCGTCTCGCGCCTAGGCCCGGTGTGCCGTAAAAGACACGTCGCTTGACGCGCCGAGGCCCGGCAGCAGCTGGACATCCGAGATGTCAAGGACCAAGCGAAGCGCTTGGAAAGCCCGGTCGAAACCTTGGAGGCCTGCGGCTGGAACCGTCGAACCACGGGGAACCAAGGCCTTTCCCGTTTCGGGAAAGGCCTCTGCCGAGGGCGAGGGGGCGAAACATTGCTGCCTTTTGGGACACAACGTCGTGCTGATTTTCGCTTCGCTTCATCATGGGTTCTGCCATTCAGTGCGGCCCAAATGAAGGGATTGGCAACCTTGTGGAATGGGCAGCAATTAGCTTCAGGGCGCTTTTTCAGAAGGCTCCCCAGTAATGGACGCGTCGCCTGCCTTGTAGGCACAGGCACAACCCAGCCCAAGATATGATGTATCGATCTCAGGTTGATCTCAGGTTGAAAGGAATCTCCTGACAAACATGACATATCCCAAAGGTTCAACAGCTACTAGATGAGGGTCTATGGTCATGGCACGAATTGTCCAGATGAACATGGCACGAAAAACGTGATTCATCTTTGCCCATCATATTTCAACATTCTCCAGTCATATCAGATCAGCTGTTGATTCTAGACCGCCGTCAGGTACATTGGCTGTGGATCACCAGATTTTTTCCAGAATTACCATGACTTTGCAGTCTGCGCATCAAAGGAGAAACAGACCCCGGAGAAGTTGTCAGATACCGCGACACTCCCCACGGCTTTGTTCCTTCGTTCAACCGTTTCGCGCTGGAAAGCACCCATCTTCAGCCAAAAAGATGAAGCAAGTGCCCAAGGGTCTCAGGGTACCTTTTTCGCACATTCTCAGGGTGGATCAGTTTAGGTGCTTCTTGAGCTCTGAGAGTACGGCATCGGATCAACATCAGACAAGGTTTATTGATGGAAGTTACTTGAAGAACAAATCACCTTCCCAAGTGCCAGATCCTCTACTTCCGTGTTTGTTTTGAGACAGACAGCTACCATCAGCTACCTATCAAGTTCTTTATAGTTCTCATATAGTTCTTCTATTTTGTTCCTGTTTGTGTTTGTTTGCCTGACTAGCGCAAATCTGCAGCGGGACAAAGAACCAGGTCGCAAGGATTGGACGCGCTGTGAGTTTGGCATCTGGGCATAAATAGGTCTGGGTGGTGGTGTCCTGATATTGGCCTGAAGAATCGAATTAAAGTTAGGCTTGGAAGTCAGGTCGCTCACAGAGCGCAAACATCTGCAGAACCGAAACCACAGCCCCCAGTGAAATGATGGAAATAGACAGTAGTTATAAAGATCGACTAAACCATCAATCTGAGACTATGTTTGCTTTATACAGCCGGCTTGTGACCACTCAACGTTAACAACATACTATATTCAACAGCATTCTACAATAGGAGCAGGCTGCCTGTCTATTTGTTGTTGCCTCACTTCGCCCTTACAAAGACTCTTTTTTCAAGTTGGGACATAACGACCGACCGTGACACATCAGAAGTTGACCGGGAAGAGGCGGCACTTGAAGTTTAGTTCGACAAAAGGGGATGTTGGTTACAGGATGGCATCGGGGTAGCTCGAAGAAACCAGTGCCCAGTCTGAGTCGCACCGTCTGAGTACCCCGACTTCTTGAACAGGGAATATGGAAAGAACATGGAAGACTGTTTTTTGACCGCATTTTTTTCACAAACGACTGGTGGTCTGAAATCATACATCTTACATTAGGAAGAAGGGGTCTTATATAGGGCCTTCTCAGTTTGGGTAACATGACCCATGATGACCCTTCCCAAGGCAAGGAGATGGTAGTGAAACCTGACTGCTTTGGCTTTCCTCGGCGTTTTCAAACGCCCAGGATTTGACCGAAGGCCCAGCTCCCTCGCGGGCGCGGGCATTGGTGACCTTCCATGCGCGGGCCCGCATCCCCCAGTTCAGGTCGTTGGGTGTGCGGAAGATGAATCAATTCATTACGGCGGTTGGCTTGCTGAAACAGAACCATTGTTTTTAACGGCGCTACTGGAATTGTAGGATTCCGGGCCCACCATGAATTGAATGATTTGAATCGCCAAGAACATTCTTTTTTATTACGAAGGAGTTTGGACAGTTTAGACCACAAAAAACACCTCAACCATTTTTTTGAAGGGTCTTGAAAGGCTAGGGAAAAGGCAAGATGTTTGAGGGGCTTCATTTGGTTGACCCAGAATGAAAAAAGGCAATATCCTACGTGGAGTGTGAATTCGAGGACCCTTTGATTGGGCATGCAAGACGGATCCAAGCCAAAAAATGTATTCAAAACCCACAGCATAAATTATAATATAATATATAGGATCTTGACCCGATACCGACTGCTATACTACAGAATGTGCCGGATCACCTGTTGAATGGATCTGTGTGCACTGGCCAAAAATTGCACTGCGGGTTGCTAACCAGTTGACTGGGTTGGTGATTTGGCCAGTCGTATGAAACTTCTTCTAAACCTGGTTGATGGTGTTTTCTGCCAATATCTGCCAATCATTGTTCCATGTCGTCTGGAAGAAGAAATCTGCACAGTCGCCCCAGATGGATTCAAGCCAGATGTGTGGACCTTCATCGCTGTGCGCAGGTCGCTCCCTCCCTTTCAGCCGTGCTCAGTGCGGTTCGCTCTTTCAGGTGAAGGGGGGCATTTGCTGTGACGCTGCGACACAGACAGCGCCTGCCATCACGCTCTCGAAGATGTATGGAGGCCGGAGAAAAGCTGCTGCCAACAGAGCTGCCCCAGAAGGTGTGTTAGTTGGGGGAGAATGATCTCAACATTTTATCACTTGGGAGGGCAATCATGAGGAGAGACCCTCAAGATGAAATCCCTTCATGAGAAGGGATCCCAAAGACTAACATCTTTCATTAGTGTGAATATGGATCAAATCGGTCGGACTGTTGTGTCGAAGCTGTGGGTGCCACGGCCACAACCCTGCAAGATGTTGGTTTTGAGGCAACCTGCTAAAGCTTTTTCTTGAGATCGAATATGTCTCATTCTTCGGCCCCAAGGACGAAGGGCTTATATAGACCTGTCATATTGCGGGTCTTTTGTTTCAGCTTCTGAAGGGGACGTCAAAGTGTTAGGAACCCATAGGCATTCACCAAAAAATAACAAATGAACAAGACTCAGCCCATCAACAATTCTGATGGGCCTGCAATTTCCAACAAATACTCCTTGGAAGGTCCAACCTTCTTTTGCAGGCATTGTGCCTCATTACATCCAGTTGGCGGCCCAGTTGTGCTCGGCTCCAATAGATTTTGCATGGAAAGCGGCAAAATGCGGCAAGCATCAAGTTCCCAAATGGGGCCTCATCATCGTAGTTAGTTTGTGGCAAAACCTGATTGGACCGTCGTGTGTTAAGAAAGTTGTAGGCCGCTGAATTAGGATTTCTCGCTGGCATATGAAAGACACGTGCATGACTATGACCATCACTTTAATACCTAGACTCCAAAAACTGGCTCGTGACCTTGGGTTTTGAAGCATCAAGCCCAAATTCTCTCTGCTCTTGGTGGATTTCCCCACTCCGAGGCGGGAACTGGCAAGACTTCGCCAGGAGAATCAGCTGTTGAGGTACAAAATCGCCTCAGTGGTCGGGATGCTGAGACAGCGCAGGAAGTATGGGATAAACTACAATATGTGACTCAGTCGCTGAGCGTGTTTTTGGAACCCTAAAAATAGATCCCCACAAATTATACAATGTGTGGGACACCGTGCCACTATCTATTTGGAGACCACTATATAGTTCGTTGTAGTTCGTATCAGTGGTTCTTCGTTTTTTGTTGGAGTATCTAGCGCTTTTCCTCAGCTGATCTGGTATGTTCTGTTCAGATCTGCGGTCCGGTGGGTCTTGCAAGTCGAGAACATGGTCCATTTCCGATTCTCCAACTCGCTCCGGTCTGAGGCCATGTCCCAGCCGAAGCGGTCGGCGGTGCGACATCAGGCGCATGTGGAGCTGACAGTCGCGGCGCCGACAGGTCTTCACGGGGTCAGCTCATGGCGAAGCATGGAAGTAGTGAAAGTACACAGGTTCCTTGGAAGAAGCACCCAAGTGTCCTTTCGAAACAGGGCTGAGCCTATTTCTTGACGGATCGCGGGCGGGGCTCCATTTGATGCAGGTTGCTGAAACGGTGGGGTGACTTTTTCAACCCAATGGGAACGGACAAGTGGCACTTTCCAACTTGAATTCTCAAGACCTGGCTTCTGTAGGTGAGAAGACCGAGAAGACCCTTGTGATTGTATACATCCAACCCCGCAAACTAAGAGTGAACTCACAATACCACTTTCTCCTTTCAACCGGAGCCTTCACGGTCGATCTCCATCCGACCGGAACGAACCGGAATCCGTTCGATCTCACCGTGACGCCGGTCGAGGCCACCCAAACGGCACCCGCCTTGACCTTCTCCACCGGTCGAGGACGCCAATGGGCCACTCGGCGCATTTCGGGCTGGGCCGGTGGAAAACACTCATTAGGGTTTCAGAATGGATTTCTTGAAGGAAAAGTCGATGTTTCAAAGAAATTCAGTCATATATTATTGTCATTTGCCTGATCTCTATTGTCATTTTTAGACCTTGGTGGTCACGAAAGCTAGCCTTAGCTAGCTGGAGTTGCTCTTGCTTTAGCAAGTTAAGTGACGGGGTGGACGCACGTCAGAAACCTCAAATAATTGATTAAATCAATCTTATGGACCCCCCCCCCGCGGGTTCGACTCCCCCCTGCGCGGTGAGCGGGACCACCAAGCAGCTGCAGCACACCAAGCATCTGCAGTCTACCACCAAGCAGCTGCAGCAAACCACAAAGGAGCAGCAGCAGCAGAAGCAGCAGACCCAGAGCAGCAGCAGCAGCAGCAGACCACCCAGCGCCAGCAGCAGCAGCAGCAGCAGCAGCAGCAGCAGACGACCCGGCGCCAGCAGAGCACCCAGCGCAGCAGCGCCCAGGGCAGCAGCGGCAGCAGCAGCAGCAGCAGCAGACGACCCGGCGCCAGCAGAGCACCCAGCGCAGCAGCGCCCATCCCTGACGACCAGACTCTCGTTCACCCCCTAGCTAGCTTTCGTTCACCCCCTCTGGCCTCAAGTATGTTGTTCCACGTTTTTCCTTTTTTGACATGCAGGTTGCATGGCCTGGTTCAGCAAGATTTAAGCTTGCAAGCTGCTTTTGGGGCAGCCTGACGCTTCTGTTCTGTTCATAAGATAAGATAGAAGCTTGACTTGAGTTGGGAGAGGTAATATGTTATGTCGAAGACCTCCCACCCAGCTTTTAAAATCAGCTGCGTCTCAGCGGATTCCAGCAGCTGGGCGACTGGACGTCCACCTGTTTATAACCAGTCGCAGAGCGAGGCAGAGAGTCGAAGATGCGACACACCTGCGGAAGACTCGGTCGACCAGCTGGCGTTTAGTGCAAACATCCACATTAAGTATAATTATTAATAAGCTTTGTTTTGGGAGACTGGAATCCAAGCAAACTCTGTCGTCCTTGTCCGTCACTTCCTGAGTCTGAAACGAAGTTCGAAGGCAACACGTCGTTTCGCTGAGCCCGCGGTCTAGCGGCGTGAAGGAAGACGCCGCAACTTGCGTCGCTGACGGGCCCCGAAGCTGCAAAGCTTTTGAGCTTGAGACTCCTGATTTGGGGGATGTTCTTTTTGTTTTTTGTTTTGTGGCTGAAAGAGGTCGATCCCTATGAACATAGCCAGAGGGACAACGAACGAGTTCCAGACTCCTTGTAAGTCCTTCTGCTCATATCCTCTTGTAACGAAGCAGCAGAACCCTTGCTGTTCACATTTTCTTGGTTCTATTTTTGGTCCAGAAGGTGTGACATAGTTTAATTTGAGATATAGGTGACCTGGAGTTTGGCGCCCAGCTGAAGGGAATCAGCTCTGGGTGAAGAGGAAATACAACCTGGAACCCCAGTCCCAACCAGAAACAAATACAAGGACCGGATAACCCCACATGATAAGTTTTACAAATTTCAAATGTATATGAACATCACATGGGAGACGGAGTAGTGAGATGAAAAGTCAAGAACGAAGTGTGAGGAGAGAGAAGGCATATGAGGCGGTTATGCTCAGACGTGCAGTATAAGTGATGATGTGATGGACGAGGATGAGAAGGAGGGGAGGGAGGAGGTGTGTGTGTGTGGTGAGATGGCGTGTGTGTGTGTGTGTGGGTGTGTGATAAAGTGTCTGATGATGTGATGAACAAGGATGAGAGGGACGAGAGAGAGAGAGAGAGAGAAGGAGGCGGAGAGAGAAGTTTGGAGGCTCTGGATTTTGCGATCAGATCCGCATGAGACCTTCACAGATGTTGGCCAGATCCGCATCAGATCCGCAAATGCAATCGGCATTTCACAGATGTTGAAAAGAAACATGTCATGAAAACATGTAAGTAAGTGAATCAAAACATGTCTGCTGCAACCACGTGAGTTTTTGTGATGACAACCATGGCCAGAGAACTTTCAAAACAAGATTCAGAACGGTCGCGCAGGCTAAACTAGAGAACTGCAAATCACAATGGCAGTAGCGTAGAGACAGGCTTCACCAACACCCTCGCCGCAGCATTTACAATGCGATTCGCAGGCATTGATTGCCCTGGCTGTGCAAATCACAATGGCAGTAGCGCGCAAACACACTCTGCCAACTTCCGTGCCGCAGCCATTACAATGCGATTCCGAACCAGTGAGAACCCTTGCTGTGGAAATCACAATGGCAGTAGCGCACAGAGACATGTTGCAAACATCCGTGCCGCAGCCATTACAATGCGATTCCGAACCAGTGAGAACCCTTGCTGCGCAAATCACGATGGCAGTAGCGCACAATCACAATGGCAGCCAGCCCCTTCCGGAGGCTCTGGATACTGCGCCTGCCACGCGGAAGGCAGCCAGCGGCACCAGCGGCGACAACGCGCGCCACAGCCCCTTCTGGAGGCTCTGGATACTGCGCCTGCCACGCGGAAGACAGGCAGCGGCACCAGCGGCGACAACGCGCGCCACAGCCCCTTCTGGAGGCTCTGGGTACTGCGCCTGCCACGAGGACAGCCAGCGGCACCAGTGGCGACAACGCGCGCCGCAGCCCCTTCTGGAGGCTCTGGGTACTGCG